TGAGCGTCCCAAACGGTTTGATGCGGGGGTGGGGTGGTGGGCCGTGGGGAATAGGTGGTTGACTTTGTTTCTTGATTTGTGCCATTGTTTGGACAATATTAAAGCTGCATGTAAAAGGGGAAATTAGTAGATGATGTAGGCGAAAAGTGAAATCATAGTAACGTATGTTTTAGTATTATTAACTTTTTTCTGTACAAATATTAGCGCTAAATGTTTAAATATGTACGAATGCCAGAAATTTGTTGGTTCATGCAGTAGGATTTTTTTTAAGGCTTTTCTTTTAAAACGGTTCCGCTTTGAAAACCTGCCTCTGGGTTTTTGTTTTTTCTCCTGTGTGTGTGTATGTGTGTGTGGGCGGGGGGGGGCTCAGCTCAGTGTTGGAGCTGCTGGTTTTTTGTTCCAGTTGTGGGAATTTATTGGCCTGGCAGGAAGGTTCTGTGCTTCACCGTGAGGTCTGCTTTGTGGAAAACTGGTGACAGCTAGCATTTAAAGCCAGTGTGAGTCATGTGATACTTCCCAGGCGTGGAGTGGTGGAGACGTCAGCTGACAGTATTTTGTTTTTTAACTTCTTGTTGCCTTTTTAAGTGACCTCTCTTCTTTACAAAGGAATGCTCCCTGCTCCTGTTGAAACCAGGTCCCAGCCAGCTTCTTGGCGTGATTTACTCTGGTTAATAACTCACATGCAACTGGCAGTCTTGACCACATTCACTGGCCCAGACCTGTTCGGCAGCCACTTCCGGGAGGGGTGAGGTCTCTTGACTCCTCTCCACCCTGACTCAGACCTCATCCTCCTCCCACCCCTCACTTTTCTTCCTCTTCCACCCACCTCACCCCTGCCATGAGAGCTGACTAAAAAACACTGCTCTAGAAGCCGTCTTCTGGTTTCTTAGGGGCTTTAGACAAGTTATCTCATTCGTTGTCCGCCATGAACAGCGACCAGCTTTGTGCAATTGTCCACGTGACGTGTGTGTGTCTTTGTGCTGTTCTGAACTGCGTGCTCGTCAAAATGACTTCTGGGCGGATTCAAAGGGAGGACGCGCTGGGGACCAGAATCCAGATTGCCTCGGGTGGAGTGGAAAAACCCAGCCAGTCTCCTTTCCCTGGGATGGCTTAGTCAGCCCCAGGAAAAGCAAAAGCAAGGGAACCACGAGGACTGGTGTTTGCACAGTATGGTGACATTCAGCTGTGTTTTTAAGGGTCCTTTCTTACCAAAATAAGGGACCCTCCGACCCTGGTTTGTTCAGCCTGCTTGGGTCTCCACATGGCTGGGGCAGCAGTGGTGGTTGGGGCCGTGACAGTGGACGTGACCCTGCGACAAATGACATCCCACCTACACCGGGTCCTCCCCTTGGGTCTGCCTTTGTCCCGCTTGTGGCTCCGGACGACCTCCCAACATCCAGCGGGGTCAGGCTTTGGGCAGGTGTGGCTTTGCTGTATGTGCTTGTTTCTCTGCGTTATCTGGGGGTGCCTTGAACAAAATCGAACTTCATTACATACTGATTCTGGAACAAAGCAGTTCAAAAAGCTTTCTTTAGAGAAAAAAGGAGCTGGCCAAGTGTCTAGGCCATCCTGCTACTTCTCTTCTGAGTTCCCTAAGATGACTCAGGCGTCAGAGGTGAGATGCTGCCGTAGAAAACGCGACCGTGTATGTCTACTCCTGTCTGTTGCGCGAGTAATTTATTAACTGTCTCTCTGAAGGTATGCTGCTTCTAAGATGCACTCTCATTGTGGATGTAATCCTTGTATCGCTTTTCCAAGGAAGTAAAAAAAAGGCGAGGGATCAGTGTGCCAACTGCCACCACTCCTTCAAAAGGAGCCAGGGACCAGCCACGGGACTTGCATGATGGGACTGGCTGTGGTTAAGTGTGCACAGTGCGACGTTGAATGCCGTTGTCAGGAGACCTAAACCCACAGTTTATGTTGTAATATTTTTTGATTGACATGAAAGAAGAGGAGAAAGAAGAAAGCAAGATTTGAAAATGATGAGCCTTTTAAGAAACCGAAAAATCTTATGCCAGGAAGCTTCTCTGCACCCTACGGGGTAGCATGGTCCTCTCGCCAAGCAAAAGCCACCCGCCGAGCTTTCTCAAATCCAGATTCGCCACCTAGTTTTTTGGGGGTTTGTTTTCAATTGAGTCAGGATTTTACTGTGTCGCTCAGGCTAGAGTGCAGCGCGATCACTCCTCACCATAGCCTCAACCTCCTGGGCTCAAATGATCCTTCCACCTCAGCTTCCTGAGTAGGTGGACTACAGGTGTGCACCACAATGCCCGGCTAATTTTATTTTATTTTTTTTTTAGAGATGAGGTCTCACTCTGTTGCCCAGGCTGGTCTCAAACTCCTGGGCTCAAGCAATCCACTTGCCTCAGCCTCCCAAAGTGCTGGGATTACAGTTGTGAACCACTGCACCTGGCCTGGGCATTTATTCGAACATTATTCCCCATTGACACTAGGAGCCATTTTGTAAATGACTTCAAAACTGCTCTGCTCTTGCTTCTAGTTTAAGAGGAGTCTCAGATCCAGGGAGGAGAAAGAGTCAAGTCTGGTCCTCAAATCACTGTAAATAGATCAAGATTTTTTTTAAAATAGTAACAATAAAGCTCTTCCTTGTATCATGAGTTAGTGATTCTTCCCAGAATGGAGAATTTTGTTGAAGTTGCATTTCCAGCGAGTCAGTCCACACGCAATGCCCTGTGTGGAGTTGGTACTCACCCAGGAAGTCTGTGAGCATGGCGGCCTTCTGTGTCGAAAGTGTCTGTTTCTAATCCTGCCCGAGCCATCTCCTGACCCCAGCATCAAAGTCTGATGCTGCAAAGTGGAACTCATGTGTACACAAATAGTGTGTACAGACAGTGTTTGTACATAGAAAAGACTTATCGTGGCAGATCGAGGATAAATTATTCAACTGACGGTGCAAAAACATTACTTGCAAAACACACAAAAAGTAAGCTTCTAGTATTTTCCTACACTCCACCCTGGGAGATGATATTTATATCAGATGAGTATCTGTGCATTTTAATTGCAACATGCAAACGATGCTGCCGTTTTGTGAAGAATACCCACTTGGCTGCAGAGGCCAACTTGCACCGCTTTGATTTAATGTTGTGACATGGCGTGTGCGTTTTGCTGTCAAGCAATGGATAAACGACTCTGACTTTCCTTCTCGTTCCAGTTTATTGACCTCAGATAAAACGCTGGCCCTTCTTAGACGCAGAAGTGCACCAAGACCATTCATTTCAGGCAGACTCAAATTCCGTGCCAAATGCTCCCCTGGGGATCACCTGAGCAAAGGGACTTGGACAGAGAGGGTTTTCCTGCAGATCGGTGCTAAGTCTCCTACCAAAACAGGTCTGGAGGCAGAGGAGTGGCCTCCACTCGGGTCCTAGCAGGGCATTTTGCGCGTGGGAATGCCGGGACACCCGTTCACGCTCTGACCGAAAGACGTGGCACTTCTCGCGAGGGATCAGGAAGATTCCCAGGGCTTGTGGGAGCTTCGGGTGCTTGTGAGACACAGTGAGCCATTCGAGGCAAGCACCACCTTTGCTAGTGAGGCCAAGAGGGCCTGTGAGAATTTGTTCCAGAACCAGTCTGATGCGAGTGCACCTCTAACATATGCCTTACAAACGCCAGAGGCCATATTCAAAACAGGGTCTTCTCAGTGTATGCAAGGGGCCTCAGCCCCTCTCCTCTTCCTCCCCAGGTTGAACAATACGGACATTTTCACACATATCTACCTGTATAACCCTCTGTACCTCTCATAACTGGTCAACGACTGTAACAGGTTACATCAGGTGTTTTTCTACATACTTTTTACACAGATTCTATGCGATTAATGTAACTTAATTCAATGCATCATTTTATTGTACTAGTTCTTAAGCTTGTCCTTATTTTTTTTTCTAAGTGATTGTGGTTTTTCCTTGTGGTTTTTATTGTAAAAAAGGAAAAGGCTGTTGATGCTTATTCTCTGTAACTAAGAATTTTTACCTTTGGGGGGGAAGCAATGCTATGAACTAATGAATTGAAACTTCATTTATTCATTGTAAATACACTATTGTGCAAAAAAAAAGATTCACTCAGTTGAATTGCTAGTGTTAACTGAATTTTGTCTAGACACCATTTCTGTTGATGAAATAAAGACATATCATTATGCCTTGTAAATGGATTTTTCTCTGCCTCAGATCCCTGTGCTCCAGATGACAGAGCTGGAGGCCTCAGGAAATCTTTTTTTCCTATAGAGGCCATTTCTTTTCCTTTAGCTTGATCCCTTCCCTGCTACCTGACTAATCTGATTAGAAACATTTAAAACTCGATAATGCTGATGTGATTTCTAAACTCTGAACTCAAAAAATCCCTAGTGCCCGGGGGGGCAGAGAAAAGGCTTTAAACCTAATTTCTCAGCCAGCAATTCCATTCCTAGATATATACCCAAGAGTGATGAAAACATACAGCCCAAGACTTTGACATGAGGGTTTACAGCAACCTTACTCATAATCTTCCAAAAAGTGGAAACAACCCAAGGTACATCAGAGAATGACTGGATAATCAGAAGGTAGTTTATCCAGACACTGGAATATTATTCAGCCATAAAGAGGAATGAAGAACTGACACGTACTACAACATGGATGAACTTT